TTAGTTGAAATGAAAACAAAAGATATCAGTAGGAAAATGAGAAACCCCATGGAGATTTTGAAACCTCTTTAACTTTGACTTAACTAAAGAATGCAGGAACATTCCCATGAGATTCCATCCCCTTGGAGAGGAAGGAGGAAAAGAACTCATTGCAAATATGCCCCACAAGCTTACACCTCTTTATAAGATACAGTTATTCTCCATATCTCTATCACCAATCTATCAATCTATCTATTTATCCATCCATCTACCCACCTACCTATTCATATACACAAACACACGCAGATACAAATCATAGAATTTACAAGACAGGCTACAGCTTTGAATCCTGGTCCACTTCTTATTAATCGTGTGGCTTTGGACAAGTTATTTAACCTAAGTTTCATTTTTCTCTTCTTGGGTAAAGTAAAACCCAACTCATACAGTTATAGAGCTGCTATACATGAGATAATGCATTAAAAAAAAACCCTTTACATAGTGGCTCTTTGTAAGCAATCAATAAATGGTAACTGCTATTTAATATTGTTATTCTATAGCTTAAATTATATAATTTATACAGTATATACAATATACTCTATTCTATAGTCTAAATTGTGTAATTCTAATTCAGTCTCAGAGTTTCCCAAGCCTGGCCCTACTGGCGTTCTGGGCTGGATAATTCTTCGTGTGGGCTGTTCTGTGCCTTCTGGGGTGTTCAGTAGAATCCCTGGCCTCTGCACGATAGAAGCCAGCAGCATTCCCCGTGCTTCCCGAGTGACTCAATGTCAAAGAATCTGCCTGCCAATGCAGGAGGCACAGGTTCGATCCCTGGGTCAGGAAGATCCCCTGGAGAAGGAAATGGCAACCCACTCCAGTATTCTCGCCTGGGAAATCCCATGGACAGAGGAGCCTGGTGGGCGACATACAGTCCATGGAGTCACAAAGAGTCAGACACAACTTAAAGACCCAACAACAACAACAACAACAAAGGTTTCCCCAACCCCACTCAGTTGTGATGACCAAAATATCTCCAGATATTGCTAAATGTTCCCTGGAAGGCAAAACTTACCCTGTTTGAGAACCACTGGTATAGAACAAAGAGTGAGTGGCCCCAGAGACAGGAGACCTGGTTTCTATTAACTCATTTGTGTTCTTGGGTAAGTCCTACCACTTCCCTAGACCTTGGCTGCCTCATATGTTAAAATAGGGCAGGAAATTCCTACTTTATCTTTCATGATTTTTTAAGGATGAAATGAGAAAAAAAGCAAATGCTCTAAAGAAATGTTATAAAAGTAGGATTCTGTACGATTACTTTGTTAGAGGTGGGCTATTGAGGGGCAATTACAAGAAGCCTCATCCTGGAACAACAGCTGATGCCGACCTACTCTCTTCTGTAATTCATACCCTAGGGAGCCGCTAGCCTCTCAGCAACTGTTTATTGATCACATGTCAAGGATTCCCTGCTCCTTTAATGGATGTATTTGTGGCTTGGCCTGAAGAATTCAAAAGGAACTGTTTTCTTTCAAAATGAAATGAAAATGTTATTTAAAAAAAATATTATTATAAGTGATGAAAACTGGCTTGTCATCTGTAGATTTACCTTTCATCTAAATTTCTCTCTCATGTGACTAGAATTAACCAGTCCTCAGAATTCTGCAGATTGATATTCAGAAAGAAATATCTTAGGGTTTGCAACATCACTGAACTGATTAATACTATAATAATATACTGAGAAGCACTGTGATGGATTTCTTCATCAGCAAGCGAACGAATTTTGATGTCATATCATGTTATGGGAATCAGTATACTGAAATCCAGAGGTGGAGCCTATTGTCATCCTTTTATTTATTTCTGAAAGATCTTTAAATGGGAAATAGCAGAGTGTCTGGGAAAAGAGCACAAGTTTTGAGTTTGGTCAGAGCTATATGGAAATAGAGAGGGTTCAAGGTCCAATGCTATGAGTTATCTCATTTAGACATATTCCTTGGTGGGATATGTTAATAACATCTGTCCCACAGTGTGGTGATGAATTTTAGATGGAGATGAAGATGTAAAGCACGAAGCACCCTGCAGGCACATGGTCGATAATATAGGTGGTCTTTCTCTGTCTAAGGTCTGAAAGACTGTTCAAGGGTTTCTTTCATTCCTTAGAGAGTGTTTTCGGTCTGATTGCCTAAAGAATGCTGCTGAAATGAAAATCAATACTTTCTAGGTATCAAGTCTTGACTTAAACTAATTGTGCTAAAGCGTGAATCCGATTATCAACAAATCTTCCAGCTCATGAGTAAATTATCTCCCTACTTTTTAAAAAAAAATTGTATTCCAGTATAGTTGACTTATAGTGTTGTGTTAATTTCTGCTGAGAGAAAGGGACTCAGTTAATACATGTGTATCTTCTTTTCATTGGATACTGAACATAGTAACCTGTGCTTTACAGTAGGACTTTGCTGTTTATCCAGCCAATATAAACTAGTTTGCATCCGCTAATCCCAAACTCCCAACCTTTCCCTCCTACCTCCCTCTCCCCCTTGGCTGCCACAAATCTGTTCCCTATGTCTGTGTATTTCCCTACTTCAGATGAGGATTGCAGTTGGAAATTATGGGTCAGAAGTCACCCACAGAACGATGGTGTTCACCCTGAGTCAAGTGAACAATGCATTTTTTTTCCTTAAAATAATTCATTTGGTTTCCTTAAGGACACAGATCAGTCTCCTAAGACAGCACAGTGGAGTAGCAGGAAGACGAGTCAGACAGACTAGTGGGTAACTCTGTTGGTGTCTGAGCCTCAGTTTCTTCATGAGCAGTATGTGCTTAGTCACTCAGTCATGTCTGAATCTTTGCAACCCCATAGACTGTAGATTTCCAGGCTTCTCTGTCCATGGGATTCTCCAGGCAAGAATACTGGAGTGGGTTGCCATGCCCTCCTCTGGGAGATCTTCCCAACCCAGGGATCGAACCCAGGTCTCCCCCATTGCAGGTGGGTTCTTTACTATCTGAGCCACCAGGGAAGGGTTAGTAATACCCATCTCTGTCTCAGGGAGAGGATGAGTATAAATAAAGCCTTGGAAACCCCAAGAATGATGCCTGGCACGTGGGAAGTGCTCAGTAATTGTCACCATTATCCCTGGCTCTCTGGCAGATCTTCACACCTACCTGATGTAGGAGAAGGGATGGGGCAATTAAGTAAGTGATTACAACTCTCCTTTTCATGTTGAATATAGCATGTGGGAAAACCATAAATTTTAAGTGCTCATCATTTAAAAATTACAGAATAATTTTCTTTGAAGTTTCCAATGGTGGCTCTGGAAGAGTTAATGTCATAACTGGTTCTTTATGCTACATATGAGGGCATTTTAAAGCCTAGTGACATGAAAAACGTCCGGTTACCTCTTTTTCAAACTGAGCATGGTGAACCATCCCTAAAACCATTTTGCAGGGGAAGACAATATTGTGTAACAGGTAACATGTAAGAATGAAACTATAGTATAACAGTTTCCCCAATTTTCATCACTGAGAATTTTTTCAATATTTTTTGCTACTTTTCCCTAACGATCTCTGTGGTGTATTTCAGCTTCCTGTTCTTGGTTTCGCAGCATTTGTGCTAACTTCTACTGTATCACACATACCACATTGCGATTGTTATATGAATCACATTTTTTCTTTTTTTAACCTCCCTACTCCACAACAATATTTGCTGAGAACAAGCATTTCTCTGTATGTGTAGTGAGTACGTGCATGCACAGTCTGTTCAGTCATGTCTGACTCTTTGTGACCCTCTGGACTGTAGCCTGCCAGGCTCCTCTGTCCATGGACTCTTCAGGCAAGCATACTGGAGTGGGTTGCCACGCCCTCCTCCAGGGGATCTTCTCTACTCAGGGATCAAACCCAGGTCTCTTGCATGGCAGGCAGATTCATTACTGCTGAGCCAGTGGGGAAGCCCCCTATATGTGTATATTACATACTAATTACAATTAATTCCCCTTTATATATATATACTGACTACATAAAAATTACACAAGAAAATATTTATTAAACATTTACTATTTTCCAGACATCATAGAGTTTTTCAGTTAACAACTTACTTATTCTCTTGAGAAACCCTGAACGTAACTCATTATTATTTCCATTTTACTGGAGTGGCTTTCCTATGACATCCTGATGCTCCTCCTATGCCTGGAAAACTTGGTGATGTTATTTATGAGAACTATAATCAGAAGACGAATCATCAAAAAATCATTTGAAACTCCTGGTATCACCAACATTTTCATTCTCTTTCTCTTACCCTTCAAACATTTTCTAGAAAGAGGAACAAACTGATTCAGAAATTTCATTTTCTTCCTATACTTCTGCAGTATAAAAGAATGAGGCAAAGACAGTTTATCCATAGGTTGCCCTGGATCCCTGAGTACAGGCTATAGATTCATCCTCCCTTGTGGGTTTTCCCAAGGACACAGAAAAAATTCTGCTTCTAATACACCTGTTGTGCTAAAAAAAAGTACACTTGGACATGGATCATCGTGGGTAACAACTCACTTCATAAATGATTGTGATAAACTGCTTCTCCTGTACTTCCAGAGAGATGGTGCCTGTTTTACCCACTAACACAACGGCAGCAGGAATAAAAGCAGTTTCCTCCTTGAGAGAGTGCTTTGGTACCCAAAAAGGTATTTTCTGCTCAGACAGCAAAGTTTATCTATACTATAAACAGAGTTAGAGATCAAACATTATCAACCTCCTTTGCTCCCTTATATGATTCTCTTAAGGGAAAGGGCATACAGCTTTTAAAGCAGGGTCCCCAACCTCTGGGCTCCAATGCCTGATGCTCTGAGAAACTGATGTAATAAGAATAGAAATAAAGTGTACAATAAATGTAATGCCCTTGAGTCATCCCGAAACCATCCCCCCCCATTGCCTGGACTGTGGAAGAACTGTCTTCCGCAAAGCAGGTCCCTGGTGCCAAAAAGGTTGGGGACCACTGTTTCAAAGTGACTGAAGCCATGAAATCCAGGGATAGTATTTACCACATGCTGGGATGTCGCACAGGTCAAACTTATAGTTTTCATCCAAGGTGAAGCACCAGGGCGCTTCCTTCTGATTTCCCGGGTTGCGGCAGTAGGAGTGTCCTCCATTCAGCTCTGGGAAGCGGAGGGCGGTGAAGGTGTGCGTGTGGGGATACTGGGAATTCCAGGGCTGGCACTGGCGCCCTGATTTGGTCACACTGACGGTGCCCCGGTAGTCCACGCCTGTGCTGTTATAGCACTTGTGATCTGAAATACACAAAAGAAGAGCCCAAACTGTAAGAAACAGAAATGATGCTGGAGCTCCTGGCCAGCAGTTTCCGAGGGGAAGACGTCCGGCTACCCTCATGGCCAAGGCTTCCCCGCCAGTTGGGGCCACGTGGCCATCTCCCGCATGCTGGGCTGGGACACACAGCAGACCTCGCCATGACACTGCTGGGAGGATTTACAGCTTATGCTTCAGGAAGGAAACCAGTCTCCACAATTATTTTTGATATGGAACACAGAAAAAAATCAGAATTGGGGCAGGATCCTGGGGCACAGGAGCAATTGCCTAGTGAATGGTGCAGGGACTGTTCTTCCCATTTCTGCTTGGTGACCTTAGACATGAGATAGATGGATAGATCCTGGGATAAAGAATGTAGTCCTCAGAAAATTTTCCTTAGCAGCAGTGCACTAGGGGTTTCCGACAGGAGTTTGGCCGTTTCTGTGCTGATACACTGGACATCTTCAAGGAGCAGGTCCTATTAAATCCTCCTTCCAGGAGCTGATGCTTGAAACCATGGCAAAAATCTCATAAGCTGAAATAAACTGAAATCTGGAGGGTTAATGATAAGATGACAGTAATAATAGTAATAATGATGGTATTGCTATTATATGTTAAGCATAGTTCTAAGCATTTTAGGTGCACTAACTTATTTAACTAATAAAACAGCTAACTACCAAAAGGAAACTAAAACATTACAAGTAAAGTGTAATATAGATGGATGGGAAATACACAGAAAACAGTCTTTTGTTTGTTGGCAGTGAGAGGATGGAGGCAAACTCCCATATAGATAGATAAATAGATAGATAGATAGATGTATAATACAATATAATGCAATTTACCATTAATGTATTTAGAATATTCAAAATATTGTACAAGCTTAACTACACCCTCATCCTAGAACACGTACATCATCCCCAAAGGAAACCCTATGTTTATTAAGCAGTCACTCTGCACTCTTCCCCAGTCCCTACACCTGGCAATCTGCTTTCTATCTCCATGGAATTGTCCACTCTGGATGTTGTATATAAATGAACTCGTACAATGGTGTCTGACTTCTTTCTATAACAGTCTTTTTTAAGGTTCAGCCATATTATAGCATGTAACAGGATTTCACTTCTTTTTACGGATAAACAATATTTCATTGGGAAAGATCCCTTGGAGGAGGACATGGCAACCCACTCCAGTATTCTTGCCTGGAGAATCCCACGGACAGAGGAGCCTGGCGAGCTATAGTCCGTGGGGTCCCACAGAGTCAGACACGATTGAAGTGCCTGAGCATGCAGCATGCAGTATTTTGTTATGTGGATGTGCTACGATGTATTCATCTACTTACCCACTGTTGGACATTTGGGTTGTTCCTACCTTTTAGCTATGGTGAGTAGAGCTGTTATGAACCTTTCTGGACAAGTTTTTGTTTGAACACCCGTTTTCAATCCTTTTGGGCATATACCCAGGAGTGGCATTGCTGGGACATACAGTACTTCTGTTCTCAAGCCATTAAGGAAGCAGCAGCCATGTTTTTAAATGATCATCTTCCTGTAACTTTTTGAATAATGACACTGCATCTTACCCACTGGAAGCTCAGCCCCCACATGGTATCTAGACCACTGGGAAGTAATCTGACTACCAACACAAATTATTACTGAGGATCAAGGTCTACCTGGGGCTGCTGGCCCCTGAGGCAGCACAGAAGGTCAGGGGCTACCACCTACTTTTATTGATGGGATCCGCCATGGGAATTCCAATCCGGATACAGTTTGCAGCTTCGGGACTCTCGGGCTGGGGGAGATCTTCACAGTTTGGCAGTTTCAGCCTCATCAGTATCATGGGATTTGATCTCGCAAAAATGTACTCTGTTTGACACAGGACATTTTCCAGGATTTCACATTCATCGCGACACAAGTCCCGGGGCTTTGGGACCGACGAGGTTTCATCGCAGTAAGGGAAGGCGTAGTGGCACAAGGAAGGGATGGCGAACTGAGAACATTTGTCAGATAAGTGGCTGGAGGTGCCGATCATGGTGAAGGCAGCTGGAAAGCAAGCACAGTGGTCAGCTCCCAGGGGCAGGGCTTATCTCTCGGGCTATCCAGTCAACAGATACCAGCTGTAAACACACATTGGCAGGAATCTGCTGTACTCAAACAGACAAGGACAAGAAAAGGAGATTCATTTCAGATGTCTAAGCAGCTTACTTTCACTGGCTTGAAAAAAATAATTTTGACTACAAAGTTTAAAAAAACAGGATTAAGTTACATATGTACTGTTTCCTAATAAAAAGAATTAATTAGGTTTAAAGTACAATATATTTTTCATTTTTACTACAAAGCAACAGAACTTTGTGTTTCATCCGGTACTTTTTATTAGTTTTGTGAGGCTTCTAAAACATTTGACAGCTGCAGGGCAGAATTTGCTTTATACAGTGGCTGAGCCCAATCACAGGATTTATTTAGTTCTGTGTCTTGCCTCTCAGTTGTTGGGTGACCCTGGGTAACTGGTTTAATTTCCTTATAATTTGAAGACTTTTGATCCCATCTTCTGAAAATGAGGCAACTCATTTGAAAGTTCTCAAAGAGCACAACTCAGTTGTCCAATGTATATTGTAGAATATTAGTGGTTGCTTTGCCTAATCTCTTATCCCCATACCAGCATTTGCACACTTTTACTGACAAGGAGCTTATACTTACAAGGCAGCCTGTGAAGTTGTTGGTACACTGTTTCCCAAAGCATATTCCTCAGAACATGAATTATGTAGAACGTTAAAAGTGTCTGAAAAACTGGGGTTCTATAGCTAAACAAGTTTGGGAAATGCTGGGTTAATCAAAGTTAAATGGATTTTTTTTTAAAAAAGAAAAAACTGTAACACTTTCCAGTAAGCTGATGTTCATTGAAAATGTCCAAGAGAGGATTATTATAAATGGGTGACCAAATTTTTATATATTTATATCAGAACTTCCATTTATTTTTGTGAATACTTAGTAAAAAGTATGTTCAAGTGATTTTTTATTAGGTTGAAATGTATCTTTTATAGCTTCTCCCTACCAGTCTTGCTTCTCTGGAATTTCACAGACTTTCCCCTTGAAAGCCTGAGAGATTTAGCAACTGGCAAATACATCTTCCTATAGTTGCTTCTTCAGGTTAAATAATTCCCCTGGCCCCCTCTTGGTTCCCTCAAATTCCTCTTGGGACATAGTTTCTGGGCCGTTGGCTATTCTATGTGTCTTGGGTTTGTTCTTGCCTCTCTTAAACTACAGCTAAACTACAGGGCATCTGAATTTCAGGTCAACATTTGGGACATATACTAAAATATATCAGATGCAATGGAGTGTCTTATATTTTCAGTGCTGACGTTGGAAACCTTATTAGAATTTCAAAAAAGCCACTTTAATGTATTTAATGAACAGGGCACCAAGGCATATTAACTACACTAGTGGGAGAGACACAGGCTGCTGTAACCATCCGAACAAGGTATACAAAATCCTGCACAGTGGCCAACACTACCTACCTCATATGTGCTAGGTAGTGCTTCAGTATTAGATTTCCACTAAAAAGATCCTTTCAATTCAGAAAAGTGAAGGGTAAATAGAGAAAGCTAGAGCAGGAAGAGTTCCATGATCATCTTGCCTCCTCACTCACTTCACAGACGAAGAAAGAGATTTCCATGGAGAGTAAGACTTTTTCCGAAGTCACAATAATGGCGAATTGGGATTAGTATCCAGAATTCTAACCCTACATTCATCCTCTTTCAGTCGACACAATGTTATTTCCAAACAGTAAGCTCTGTGAGGGCAGAGACATACCTGGCTTATTCCCCACACCATCACATCGCCTGTGCCCAGCCCATGTCCTGGTATGCCAAAAGCACTCAGTAATATTTACTGAGTGTTTGAATGAAAGTGAGACTTCTCAAAGCCTCCTTTTCCTCTAAGGGCAACCTTTAATAAATTATTCTAATGTAAATTTCAGAGCAGAGATTATATCTTTGGCTTCTTTATGGCCCCACTCCTAACCCCTATGCCTTGACTAATCCTTTGTCAAGAGAAGGGCTCAATAAAACTTCTGGGGAGAAAAACTGTTATGCAAAGTATAAATATAATTTCATTGCTACCAACCTGTGATCTGATTTTCTATTTCCCCTTGCATGTGCAAAGACTCCATGTAGACAGTGCGGTTGCCAATAAATCTTGCACAGGCAATCCCTCTGTACGGCTGACAGAATCCATCTTCTTCGTACTCATCTCTGAAAACGGAGCACAGACAGAAGCTGGTGCAGAACACACACGCAGTTGGCGCGGACTGCGCGATGCCCCAGCAGTCACTAGGGGGCGCAGCCGGGCACAGTATCCTAAAGACTAGGTTAAGGAATCTGGCTTCCTCCTCAGTTCCACCCATCGCTTAAAACATCTGTTGGTCACATTGGTCAAGTTTCCTTCACCTCTAGAAATATCATCCTGAAGCACAAAATCATCCTTAAATGTGGGAGAAAACACTTTTATTTTCGCAGCTGGTGGTGGGCTGCAGGATGATGTAGTTGTAAGAGTAAAGAGGAAATGAGTTGGAAATCTGGGCACGTGTTGTACGGTTTCTTGTTGTTTAAGCACAGATTATTTCTGTTTCATTTGCTACAAAGGGGGTGGGCGCATTACCCCGAGACCTACTCAGACTGATATGTCAATTAGGAAGCTCCGAGGGGTGAGAAGCTGGGTGCCGCGGGAAGGAAAGCCGAGGGCAGTCCCAGGTACATGGCTCCCCCTTGAGACACATCACCCCCACCCTGCAGAGAGTGCCCATGGCAAACTGTGGACTGGGCAGTCTCAGGTCAGTCACTAAGTCCCAGGAAATCCAGAGAAAATGTCAATGGATACTTGATTTCATAAGTTCCTAAAATGAAACAAAATCTTAAAAAAAAAGTTTGTTGCCTCAAGTTATAATAATAAAAGGGAGGGCACAGATTTTATCCTGAAGATAAAGTGAAAGTCACTCAGTCATGTCTGACTCTTTGCGACCCCATGGACTTAGTCCATGGAACTCTCCAGGCCAGAATACTGGAGTGGGTAGCCTTTCCCTCTGCCAGAGGATCTTCCCAAACCAGGGGTTGAACCCAGGTCTCCCGCACTGCAGGCGGATTCTTTACCAGCTGAGCCACAAGGGAAGCCCAAGAATACTGGAGTGGGTAGCCTATCCCTTCTCCAGCGGATCTTCCTGACCCAGGAATCGAACTGGGGTCTTCTGCATTGCAGGCGGATTCTTTACCAACTGAGCTATGAGGGAAGCCCCATTCTGAAGATAAGGGGATACCAGAAAGTGATTTGATTAGTGACCGTGGAGATCCAAGGCTGGAGATTAGGACCCAAGATGGCAGGCTCAGCTTGAAAGGACAGAGGCCAAAATCTCCCACTTGGGCCTACGATAAGCACAAGACACCAGAGTGGAAGATATCAATCTGCTTCTGAAAGGCAAACTACAGCCAAGCGGAAGGCTACCTGCCAGGCTTATGGTCTGACTTCTACCCTGGATGCTCCTCCTCTGCTAACCTGGCTGGAGTCAACATCTTGCCTGAAAGAAGTATCTTTTTTTTTTCCCTCTTTGGTTTCTTCTAAATTAAAGTACTTTAGAGCAAAAGTCAGGAGAACAAATTCTCCTGCTGGATTTAACATTTGCATATCCTTAGGTGTGATTCCCTGGTGGCTATGACAGTCAAGAATCTGCCAGCAGTACAGGAGACCTGGGTTCTATCCCTGGGTCGGGAAGATCCTCTGGAGGAGGAAATGGCAGCACACTCAGTATTCTTGCCTGGGAAATACCATGCACAGAGGAGCCTGGCTAGCTACAGTCTATGGGATCGTAAAGAGAGGGACACCACTGAGCAACTAACACTTTCACTTTCTTATCCTTAGGCAACCTCTCAAATCCTCTGAGCTATGGTTTTCTTATCTATAAGATGAGGATAATAATTGACCTCCCAACCCTATAGGTCAAAGTCATGTTGCTGTTCGTTGTTTAGTTGCTAAGCCATGTCCCTTTGCATCCCCATAGACTAGCCGGCCAGACTCCTCTGTGCATGGTATTTCCTAGGCAAGAATACTGGAGTGGTTTGCCATTTCCTTCTCCAGGGGATCTTTCTGACTCAGAGATAGAACCTGTATCTCCTGCATTGGCAGGTGGATTCTTTACTGCTGAACCAAAGTCATGAGGATCCTATCAAACTGTGTAAAAGCTTTAAAAAAATGCTACACAGAGGTAACATATAATTATTATTAAAGTCCTTACAGTTACCAAGAGGGCTTCCCTAGTGACTTAGAATCTGCCTAGAATGCAGGAGACCCAGGTTTGATCCCTAGGTTGGGAAGATCCCTTGGAGAAGGGAATGGCTACCCACTCCAGTATTCTTGCCTGGAGAATTCCATGGACAGAGGAGTCTGGCGGGCTACAGTTGTCCATGGGGTTGCTAGGAGTCAGACATGACTGAATGACTAACACTAGCAGGTACCGAAGAAGATATTTCAAAGATAATTATTTGCTAAGCTTTTGCTTTGTAAAATCAACTGTGTTCATAGCTCTGGCCCTGGACATCCACACCTGAGGGTTCAGGGAGGGAGTCTAGAAAGCCCAATAGAATAGGAAACCATGTGAAAAAAATCTGATAGAGCTGATCCTTAATAGACACTCGTTTTCAGCTGCTTTCTACTCCCTATTCACTAAAACAGTCAAGTTAAAGGTGGAGATGGGAGCAGTATCTCCAGTTCTGTCCCTCAAATAGTTTGCAGTGCAAAGCTCTTAAAAACGTAACCTTTAAGTACACATACAAATGAATATATCATACACCTGACATAAAGACATTGAAATTTTAATGTTGCAAAATCCTGCAAGCACTCCACATGTTTACTTTCATAAATCCTAGAGTAATGTTGAAGCCTTTTTGGCTTAAATTTTACTTGGGTTGTAAAGTTAACCCCACTTTTATTGGGTAACTAATACCATAAACCTATGGGGGGAAAGAAGTTTCTTGATGACCCAGCCTTGGAACTTGAAAAGTGAAGTACTGAGGCCAGAAAGTACCCCCACACCATCACCCCCCTCCTATTATGGATGATGCTATTCTATCCCTAGGCATTAGCAGAGTCCTGGATTTTTAAGGTGTCATTGTGAGAACACTTCTTCCTACCCCACATTCAACTCTCAAGGCCTCAATTTATATCTCTTGGGAGGACAAAACCCTGGAATTACCCCCAGATATAAATCCCTGACCTACTGGGAGTTCCCATATTTTATGTGTAAGGCTTAGGTTAAACTTCTTACCACCTTCCCAATTTGAGATTCTGAAAAGACCTTTTGAATACTGTTTTCCAGAATAAAATGGAATGCAATTCTTTGGCTGCCTATTTCTTATCGAGACTTTAGATCTGCAGGTGTATTACATTTTTTATTGTGCCCAGAATTCTTGATACTCTGACCAGTCCAGTCTCTTGGGGACAGATATAAAAAATAAAGCAAACAAACAAACAAACCAAAATAGTATGCAATGTCATCTGCTAGGGAGTAGTTCTCAGTCCTGGCTGTTTATACCATCTCCTTTTAAGAAGCTTTCGAAAATTCCAATGTCCAAACCCCACCTTGGACCTATTAAATCATAGTCTCTGGGGATGCAGCTTAGGTATTCATGCGTTTTAAAAAGCTCTCAGGTGATTTGACTGTGGTCAAGAACCACAGCACTAGAAAAACAAACATGTATTAAGTGTCTGCCACTCTCTGTGCTGAGTACTATGCTAAGTGCTTTCTTCAAAGTAGCCCCTTGTGGCATTATTATCCTTATTTATCTGAGTGAGAGACTCAAGTTCAGAGAAGTTAAGTAACTGGCTCAGACTCACAAGGCCAGTAAGTGGAGGAGCTAGGATTTAATCACAAAATTCAAGCTCAAGCTTGACTACCAGGCTATAATAATGTTCTGCTTTTCAATCCTACTTTAAAGTAAATCAGCCGAATAATAAAGAAGAGGATTTATAATGAGCCTTTACTCTGTTCCAGGCACTGTTAAGTTTCATTTACATAAAAAATCAATATTAAGTCATTTAACGCTGACAACAGTTTTATACAGAAAGTGAAGATTTTCCCATTTTACAGATGAGAAAACTGTGGAGTCAGAAAGAGCAAAAGAACTTGTCCACTGTGACTCAGTAAGCAGAAGAACTAGATTTACCCCCAAACCTGTGCTTGTAACGTTGGTATGCAACTTCCTTCCAAACAGTTGCGTATAGGAGTTTTTCCACTGCTAAGAGGGGCTCTCTACTGTGCAGATGTTTTGGTGTCTGCTGGATAGAGGAGCCTGGCGGGCTACAGTCCAAAGGGTCACAAAGAGTCAGGCACAACTGAGCGACTGCACACACACATGCACAGGTGGCATAAAGGTTTTCTTTTAAACGTCAAGTCACAATCTCCTTTCATCCTTCCCATTTTTCCTGCCAGCCGTGGCTGGAGGGGAACAAACGCTCCTCCAACATTAATCAGCTTTATGCCTTTCTCCAGCTCACACTTCTTTCATCGCTGATGTCCTCCATGGTTAGCAAATTAAAAACATGAAGAAGCAAGGCCGTGAGAGCGCAAGGGCACTTGCAGTGAGCATGCCCAAGGCTGCGTTCTAGGGAAAGGAAACACTAGGAGCGGGCAGAAGGAATTCTGGATATCCATCACAGTTCCTGGCATCAACATATGCCAGCTACCTCGCTGTGATGTCAAGATGCTGGAGTGCTCTGTGATGGGCACTCATGATTCTTCTAAAGGTAATTTAGTTACTGGGTTGCCAGCCTCTACAACCTTCCAAGTTCACTGCCAGGTGATAGGGAAAAGCAAACACAGTTTGCCCCCCACCTCCAGGGTCTCCCCCTTCCCCAGAGCAAGGAGCTGATGAGGGGTGGTGACACAGGGTTGAGGGTGATGGCAACCAATGTGGCAGCAGCAGAAGCATCCGCCCAAGAAGCACTGCAGACCAAGAATGGGGAACATGCTGCCCATGGCAGTTTGACAGCGACTGTGGGGGTCAATGGTTACACACTGCATTCATTTGAATCAGCTCTAATGAGATGGATGAAACTGGAGCCCATTATACAGAGCGAAGTAAGCCAGAAAGATAAAGACCATTACAGTATACTAACACATATATATGGAATTTAGAAAGATGGTAACGATAACCCTATATGCAAAACAGAAAAAGAGACTCAGATGTATAGAACAGACTTGTGGACT